CCCTCCAGTGGCCTTCCCAGCTCCAGGCGAGCCCCTCTAGGCTTCTCCCCCTCCCCAGGAAAAGCCCCAAAGCGGGCAGGGGCAAGGGCAGGGGCTGGGGCAGTGTGCTTCTGATCAGGCTGCCTGGGGCGAAGGGGGGAAAAGGCTTCCGGGGCGGCCTGCCCAGAGCCCTCACGTGGCTGCAGCGCCCAGCACAGCGCCCCTCCAGGGCAGGTTAGCAACCAGAGAGGCAAACTGTTCTGTGTTCTCCGCCCACCTGACCCCCAAGGAGCTGCTGCTCGGGGCTGTAAACAGCGAGCTATTCTTTCCTGCTCTGCTCCTAGGGTGTCTGCGGCCCCTTTTCCATACCATCCGAGGAGTCTGTTCAGGTGCAGGCTTCACACATTCAAAACCAGCAGACGTCACAGCCCCAGAAAGCCAGCCACTTCTAGTCTCGCTAGTGTCTGGGCTCCAGGTCGCACATTCCTTAGTCTCCTGGAGCCAAGATCCCTGTATAAATACCGATGCGTTCTCTCTCATTCTCTCACACATGCCCTCTCCCTGCTCAGTCCCCCCGCCCCCACACGCACGCACACACCTCAACCCACCCCCAGCAAAAAGCATTGCACAGAGGATGCCGTTTCCCAGCCGAGAGGTCACCAGAGGGACGGGCGGTCTGCCAGGCAGTTCCTGAGCTTGCTTTTGGGTCGGCCTTTGGGGGCGAAGCACTCTTGAGCCAGAAGCAACCCTCGCCTTGGCTCAGACCCCCAGGGCCTCGTCTCCACAACTGTCATGCCTCGCCCACCACGGAGAGTGACAGACGAGATGGCCACTGCCCTTGGGCTCCCTGGTGGTCATGGTGGTTGCCCGGCCCAGAGGGGCTTCAGAAAGGTGACCTTGCTCTGGCCAAGGCCCATTGGCGGGCCAGGCTACGGCCTGTAGATCTTAATGACGTCTTTGATGGGCCGCCGGCAGATGGGGCAGCAGGCCCGAGCCTGCCTCTTGAGCCGCAGGCCGCAGCTGGTGCACAGGCACATGTGTCCACACGTGTAGATGACCGTGTCCACTTCGCCATCGAAGCACACCGTGCACTCGCCGTTCTTGCTGCCTGCCGGTTCCGGTGGGGGAAACACGGGGGACACCGGGGGGCTCAGCGGGGAGCTGGGGGCTGTCACTGCAGAGAGGAAGGCCAGGCCAGACCTAAGTAATGTGGTTCTCAGGTGGGTTCTGTTGGGGCAACCCCAAGAAGGCAAAGTCTCTCTGGGGGAACCCATGGGGGACAACCTGGGGAGACACCGACTTCGGCTTTTTGTCTGGGTTTTGCCCCTTTCCTGCCCCCAAGCATCAGGCACCACTATCGCCCTTCGGGGAGCCACATCTAGATGCTTCTCTTCCCGCCAGCTGAATGCACAGCCGAGGAAGGAGAGGATGCGGGGTGGGGGTGGGGGGCGGAGGTGACCGCCCTGCTTAGCCCTGGGAAGGAGCCAGGCCAGCCCCTGCCCTTGCGCCCGCCCCAGGTCTGCATCTCCTTACCCAGGGAGGACTCGGAGGCCGAGGAGGACTGGTTGACACTGAAGGCCATATCGGAATCGCTATCGTCCTGGGAGCCACTGAGGGACCCCGACGGAGACGGGATCACAGGGCTGGACTGCAGGGTGCCTGCGACCAAAGAGACTCCATCAGGTGGGCGTTCCCCTGCTAGTCCCTGGCTTAGCCTCCTGCTCTGTCTGATGGGAGGGCAAGAGCTGCCTCACAGGGCTCCGATGGAGTTTACGTGCGTAGTGGACATCTGCTATGCGCCTGCCCCACCATTGTTCCCGTTTACTTCTGGGAAACAGCACTGGGGTTTTATTCACAGGATCCAGGCCAGTAAGAACGTCTCCCTCTTGGTCTCAACGGCAGTTTAGGGAAGGCCGCAACCCAACAAGTTACCTTCAGAATCAGAAGTAAAAGCAGATATATGTACAGATTATCCTCCAAATGATTCTCTTACATGTTCAGCATCTGAAATTGAAGTAAACCAACCTGTACCAAGCCTACATGAGTTATCTGAGAATGCAGAGATAGTTATGGTTAATGAAGCCAAAGTTGTAAAGGTCAATGCCGAGATGGAGAGAGGGTGAAGTCCTACCGACACCCTTTCAACATCTGGACCAAGCAACAGTCACCGTTGTTACGATTACTAGTTGCTAAGCACGCGGGAGGCGACAGGCACCTGCTGAAAGTATGCACATCTCATCCTTTCACCCTCACAACCCCAGGATGCGGGGACCCCTGCCCTTCTGCACAGAAGGAAGCTGAGGCTCTGACTGCCCCACCTCTTCAGGGCTGAGCAGCCAAAGACTGCGGCAGCCGTGAATTCTCTCTGTGCTTCAGTTTTCTTCTCTGTGGATGGGATCATGAAACGGGTTTCCTACCATCGGCAGGAGGATAGAAGTGAACGAGGTGACAGAGAACACGGTCATCGTGTCTGTGAGCGCTGAGTGGGGGCGGGGCGAACCATGAGAAGGGAGCTGTGCTCTGTGAACCTTCCCCACACCCCCTCTGCCCCGCCCCATCCTGGAGCCCAGGGCCTGGCCGCAGTTGGTGGGTGCTCCCTGTCTGGGACATAACTGAAGGCAAGAATCATCTCAGAACAGGGTGGTTCAAGCCTGCATTCCATTTTCTGTGGACGGTGTTGTTCTCACTTCCTCTTTTCAGTGTAACTGTACATACTGTTTCTCCTACACTTACTATGCATCGGCCATGTAAATCATGTAACCATAGCAATAAAGCCTGCCACACCCTGACCCCGCGGGTGCTTAGGTCGGTGCAGACAAAATGTGGTCCAGGGACCTGCAACCTGGGCATCCCTGGGGCACTTGTGGGAAAGACATCCTCTCAGGGCCCAGCGCTACTGCCTGGAAACTCTAGGTCAGTGGTTCTCAACCTTCTGGCCCTTTAAATACAGTTCCTCATGTTGTGACCCAACCATAAAATTATTTTCGTTGCTCCTTCATAACTGTAATGCTGCTACTGTTATGAATCGTAATGTAAATATCTGCTATGCAGGATGGTCTTAGGCGACCCCTGTGAAAGGGTCGTTTTCGTTGCTACTTCATAACTGTAATGCTGCTACTGTTATGAATCATAATGTAAATATCTGATCTGCAGGATGGTCTTAGGCGACACCTGTGAAAGGGTCGTTCGACCGCCAAAGGGGTCGCGACCCACAGGTTGAGAACCGCTGCTCTAGGTGGAGGTGCGTAGTGCGATGCGCGCTCAAGTTTGGGGACCGCCAGCCCCAGCCGGGCTTTAGTGGTGTCTCCAGCCCCCGCCCCGCCCG